TGTTTGTTCATACTTCTGTCTCCCTCTCAGCCTGCGTGGGGGGGGGGGGTAGTCGGCGCCTCCACTCAGCCCGATCTTTGCTTGTCTCAGTAGATGATGGTGGATGGAGGGTCAGTACAGGTGGATGGAAGAGTCCCTGCGGAGGACCTCTGAGCAGGCCAGAGAGGTGCTGGAGAGAGCCAGGCGCAGGGAGGTGGACTGGTGGGCCGGGCACAGACATGAGGGAGTCCAGACTCCACCTGGGACGGAGGACTCTGAGGTATGTACAAGTATGTGATAATCTGTGTATTCTGAACCTGAGGGAGTCTTGTGACCCGGGTCCTCTCTATAGCCTAGATCCTGCAGGGAGTATTGTGACCCGGGTCCTCTCTATAGCCTGGATCCTGCAGGGAGTATTGTGACCCGGGTCCTCTCTATAGCCTGGATCCTGCAGGGAGTATTGTGACCCGGGTCCTCTCTATAGCCTGGATCCTGCAGGGAGTATTGTGACCCGGGTCCTCTCTATAGCCTAGATCCTGCAGGGAGTATTGTGACCCGGGTCCTCTCTATAGCCTGGATCCTGCAGGGAGTATTGTGACCCGGGTCCTCTCTATAGCCTGGATCCTGCAGGGAGTATTGTGACCCGGGTCCTCTCTATAGCCTAGATCCTGCAGGGAGTCTTGTGAAGCAGATGATCTTTACAGTCTGGAATCTTCCGGGATGTGTACGGAGTATTTTGTGTCTCCGCAGGATGATGGGAGTTCGGTCACCTTAGAAGAAGCTTTTACCACCATGTCGGACTTTATGCGTCGCACCACGGAACAGTGCAAGGTAATCCCACCGCTGGTCACATGACCTCCCCTCCCCGGGGTCAGTACAGGGACCGTGTGTGACTATTTACAGAAAGAAACCGGAAATGACGAAATCCGATACAAAGTAACAAAATAAATCACCAAAAAGAACGGCGGCGATCTCCGCCCAGCGCCAACCGAGAGGAATCTGCAACAAAGGAACTAAATCCTCCGATTCCTTCCAGCCGAGGACGGCGACATCTTGGTCTCTATTCGGGTTGCACAACGACAACCTTGACGCCAGCCCGGCCATACGAGCAACCGCTTTGGGGGACGTTAAATTGGGGGGTTCTACTTCCACTTTAAAGCAACAAATACAAATCAAAATTGGGATCCCTTCCCCCATGGTGACAACATTAATCCAATAAACCTCAGTGTGTTTCAGAGCATTGATGTGGTCACCACCCGGACCGGGCCGATGTCTTGTTACTTTGTATCGGCCTCGTTATTCACCGTTTCTTCATCATTGATCTGTAATCTCAGCCTGACGAAGATTCCTGAAATGTTTCTGGATGATTTGTTACTAAATGAGCAAGAAAAAGAGCTCTGCACCCCCCCAATCCCCCCCAACACACACCACTCCTCCCCCCCACTTCCCCCCCATTTACATTAAATCTCACCTGTTTCATGTCAAAGAAATACAATCTACGCGTTCCGCTGCACCACACATACCCCCCAGTGCCGTATCCTACCCCTGAGGGTGCTCTAGCACCCGCACCTCATACTGCTGCACCCCCTGGAGATCCTCTAATGTCAGTATTGGTATATGACAAACATGGGGCCGTGTTGGGTCCTGGCAATTGGTCCTTTAGGCACTCAATATGGCATTGTGGGATTATGGAGGGGGGGGGGGGATGTTTTGGTATGTCAAAAAGCTATTGCAGCCTTATGTTGGGTGATCAGTTACCTGAAAGGTTAGATGTGCCGCTAAAAGGGGCCTGCTGTGCACCTTTAGGGTCAGTTTGATCATAAGGTGCTCACTTTAACCCAGTATCTGGAAACCATGTGTATTCTAGTGAAATAGTGCTGCAGTACCAGTAAGTGTCAGCAGAGGGCAGCCCCATGTCACTAAATTGATAAAAGTCCCCCAATATGTATCCCCTATAATATAATACGGAGCCTCCTATATCACTGCAGTATGAGTATTCATCAGCAGAGAGGGGTCTCGTGTCACGATTCCGATAAATGTCCCCCATTATGTATCCCCTATAATATCGTTCTGCATTACCAGCATTCATCAGCAGAGGGCGGTGTGGTGTCACTGAATTGTCACGTCTGTGTTGTCTCATATGATGTCATTATTATTTATCATTCAGGCTTATCACAGCTGTATACCACCACGGGGGATTAACGAGCAAGAAAAGCAGCACATTGGCCGATTTCACCGCAGAAGACCCCCGAGAGCGGCGCAGAGGCTGGAATCGCGCCTGGTGAGCAGTGCGGTCTCCGAGTGTCACAGCTGATGAGCTGGAAAGTTTCCAGTGCAGAGAGACTGACAGCTGTACATAGGAGTCCAGGTCCTTCCCCCTCACTGAGGTGGTGTAGATGGAGAATGATTTCTTGCTGTCGGTGGCTAAGAATCCAATAAGAGACACAGGAATCCAGGAAATATTACATCAAAAATACATTTTACAACAAAATGGTTGGAAAAAAAATATCAGCTGGAAAATAAGTTATTGGGAGAAGATGGAGATGATTAGGGTAAACTAGGGGCTAATAAGGGGTTACCCCAATTTGAACACTGAGCGTGTCATTGATGTACACAGGGCATGTGTAATATAACTTGTACTTCTGCACTTGTTGCTGTGTAAATGCAAAAGCTGTAGAAGTTCCTTGCATCAAAAAACGAACTGCCTGTCGGAGAGATACAAAGTAACATTGTATATAAACATTGATCAGAGGGAGATAGAGAGACACAAAGTAACATTGTTACTTTTGTATCTATTATACTAAATTCTTCTGGAGATCAGAGAAAAGCCTCAATCTGCATTTGATGTCAGTTAAAGGAGAACTATGAGCGGCTTGGGGGGGGGCTTTTCACTCACCTCATAGTTCTAGCCGACCTGTGACAATGAGACTGTCACAGGTCGGCTCAGTAGATCGGAAGGTGAGAGAACACATCCCGGCGTTCGCCCCCCTCTCGATCCTGTCACGGCTCTCTGCCGTGACAGGGGGAGGGGCTGGATTCCCCCCTCCCCGCTCCGATCCTCCAGCGCTGACTGGCGGAACGGACGGGGGAGGGGGCGGGTACAGCTGGCTCTGCCTCTAGATAGGCAGAGCCAGCTGTCACTCACGCAGCTGGGCGGATCCCGGCACAATTGTCGGGATCCGATTCAGCTGCGGCGTCTCAGTATACCGCGAGCTGTAGCTCCCTATATACTGAGCCTAGGGTGACGGGAGTTTGTTTCCTCCCATTACCTTAAGGAGAACTAAGGGGAAAAGATTTAACCCCATAGTTCTCCTTTAATATATTTTTTTAAGACATTACCTACAGACCGCCCTAGGTAAGGCCCACGTGTTGAGTATCCATGATTGAAAGAGCTGAAATCCAATGAATGAAAGAGGCGGGGCCAGGCACAGTCAGCCAGGAAATGAGGCGGGCTCTATCTGATGTGCTGCAGCTTCTAATGAACATTGTGAGAAGCTCCCAGTGTGCAGTGACATCAGAGAAAGAGGGGAGGAGCCGGGACCACTGTGTACAATGGAGGTCAGATAGAAGACTGAAGGGGGGGACGGAGGTCAGATAGAACACTGAAGGGGAGGACGGAGGTCAGATAGAAGAATGAAGGGGAGGAGGGAGGTCAGACTGAAGGTGAGGATGGAGGTCAGACTGAAGGGAAGGACGGAGGTCAGATAGAAGACTGAAGGGGAGGACGGAGGTCAGATAGAAGACTGAAGGGGAGGACGGAGGTCAGATAGAAGACTGAAGGGGAGGACGGAGGTCAGATAGAAGACTGAAGGGGAGGACGGAGGTCAGATAGAAGACTGAAGGGGAGGACGGAGGTCAGATAGAAGACTGAAGGGGAGGACGGAGGTCAGATAGAAGACTGAAGGGGAGGACGGAGGTCAGATAGAAGACTGAAGGGGAGGACGGAGGTCAGATAGAAGACTGAAGGGGAGGACGGAGGTCAGATAGAAGACTGAAGGGGAGGACGGAGGTCAGATAGAAGACTGAAGGGGAGGACGGAGGTCAGATAGAAGACTGAAGGGGAGGACGGAGGTCAGATAGAAGACTGAAGGGGAGGACGGAGGTCAGATAGAAGACTGAAGGGGAGGACGGAGGTCAGATAGAAGACTGAAGGGGAGGACGGAGGTCAGATAGAAGACTGAAGGGGAGGACGGAGGTCAGATAGAAGACTGAAGGGGAGGACGGAGGTCAGATAGAAGACTGAAGGGGAGGACGGAGGTCAGATAGAAGACTGAAGGGGAGGACGGAGGTCAGATAGAAGACTGAAGGGGAGGACGGAGGTCAGATAGAAGACTGAAGGGGAGGACGGAGGTCAGATAGAAGACTGAAGGGGAGGACGGAGGTCAGATAGAAGACTGAAGGGGAGGACGGAGGTCAGATAGAAGACTGAAGGGGAGGACGGAGGTCAGATAGAAGACTGAAGGGGAGGACGGAGGTCAGATAGAAGACTGAAGGGGAGGACGGAGGTCAGATAGAAGACTGAAGGGGAGGACGGAGGTCAGATAGAAGACTGAAGGGGAGGACGGAGGTCAGATAGAAGACTGAAGGGGAGGACGGAGGTCAGATAGAAGACTGAAGGGGAGGACGGAGGTCAGATAGAAGACTGAAGGGGAGGACGGAGGTCAGATAGAAGACTGAAGGGGAGGACGGAGGTCAGATAGAAGACTGAAGGGGAGGACGGAGGTCAGATAGAAGACTGAAGGGGAGGACGGAGGTCAGATAGAAGACTGAAGGGGAGGACGGAGGTCAGATAGAAGACTGAAGGGGAGGACGGAGGTCAGATAGAAGACTGAAGGGGAGGACGGAGGTCAGATTGAAGACTGAAGGGGAGGCCAGAGTTGTGAATTAAGAATTCCAGACAGTAGCCACAAACTGATAAAACATTACAAAGTGTTGACATGATGGAATCATTACACAGAATGTTTTTGCTTTGGATGGATGAATATAAGAGAGACGCGGTAATCATGTCGGTGATGTTGCGCTGTATGTATTGCACTCCTCAGAGCTCGCAGTCCGCTCACCCGCTGCACTCCGGCATGAAGAAGACAGACCCCCGGGACGTCTACATTGAGGTGGCCCCTGGAACGTACAGCATATCTGCCGGCTCCCCGGACTGTCCGGCAAAGACTCGTATTGTGAACATCACACCCGGGCAGAGCGTTGACTTAACCTTTCACGTCTAGCCGGAATCTGCTGACACCCCCCTCACCGGAACTCTCCGCAGTGTGTGATCACCAAATTGCTGCACTGGGCCGAATACTGTCTGACAGACCACTTTAGCATGCCTTACGTGTGAATCGGGACCTTTGTCTGCTCTATGCACCTGACAATCAGTGTCTGCACTTAATGTCTGTAATCCTCCTCATGGATCTTCTGGGGGGGCTGACTTTGTGAAGATTTTGCAGTCGGGGGATGAATGTTTTTAGTAGAAGTTTGGGATTATATTAGTGCGAGGGTGTCATTCATGCTGCAGGACAGCAGAGGGCGCCCCGATGACATTCTTGTATCAATGACTTTGTAAAGATTTATATTTCTTATATTTAAAATAAACATTGTATACTTTAATCTCATCTCCGTTTCTTTTAGTAAAAGTGAAAACAATGGGTCCATGTGAATACCGAAAGGCCGAGACCCCCCATGAGGAATGCCCCCCCATCTCCATCCTTCTCATTATCACAATCCGCCACCCTGCAGTGTTGCTTCTTACCCCGCAGGGTTCTCTGCCACCACACAGGGCAACAACGAATGTTTATAGCAGAGGATTGGGATGGTATTAGTAGCGGTGTAAATCATTGTGCAGGACAGCAGAGGGCGCCACTGGTGACATCATTGTCCTTGTCATTTAACCTTCTACCTGCCTTGTATGTTCCATTCTTTTATCCCTTCCCACATCATCAACATGCTAATTACATTTTAACTAAAACTTTACCATGTTCATGACACGCTTTATTTTAGACCCAGAAATGTCATCCCTGGATCTCTGTGCTTCTCTATGCAATGGAGGCAGGTCATAGCTGGTGGGAGGGGCTTCCTGAAAACAGCAGACCACCCTAGGTAACGCCCACATGTAGACCTGCATGATTGAAAGAACTGAAATCCAATGAATGAAAGGGGCGGGGCCAGGGACAGTCAGGCTGGGGAGGAAAGTGCTTAGAAGTTGCTAGACGTCCTCCAGCCAGGAAAGGAGGCGGAGCTCTATCTGACTTGCTGCAGCTTCTAATGCACATTGTGATATCAGAGGAGAGGAGCCGATACAACTGTGTACAATGGAGGTCAGATAGAAGACTGAAGGGAAGGACGGAGGTCAGATAGAAGACTGAAGGGGGGGATGGAGGTCAGATAGAAGACTGGAGGGGAGGACGGAGGTCAGATAGAAGACTGAAGGGAAGGACGGAGGTCAGATAGAAGACTGAAGGGGAGGACGGAGGTCAGATAGAAGACTGAAGGGGGGGACGGAGGTCAGAAAGAAGACTGAAGGGGGGGATGGAGGTCAGATAGAAGACTGAAGGGAAGGACGGAGGTCAGATAGAAGACTGAAGGGGAGGACGGAGGTCAGAAAGAAGACTGAAGGGGGGGATGGAGGTCAGATAGAAGACTGAAGGGAAGGACGGAGGTCAGATAGAAGACTGAAGGGTAGGACGGAGGTCAGAGAGAAGACTGAAGGGGGGGATGGAGGTCAGATTTAGGAGTGCCATAAGAAAATCACTTCTATGTTGTGGAAAGGAGACACTATAAAAAACGTCTGAAATCTGTTTGCTGTGAAAAAACATTTATCATGAAACTGATTCCGATACTTCATTATAATTGGAGGGATCGGCTCGGAGTGCGGGGGGGAAGCTCGGTGATTTGAGAGGCTGGACGGGAATTTCATCTGCAGATCTCCCGGCCGATCCAGAGGAGGGAGAAAAAAACCTGATCCGGAACTTTGGAATTTGCTTACAAATCTATTAAATACTGAAAATCTGATTTTGAAATGGAATTCTATGTTTCCGGGTCCAGAACCCGCCGACCTCCTCCGCGTTCAGACTGGAAAACCTTCCCTGCAACTTCTCTGTAATGATTCTCCGTCCTCCGCTGCTGGGCAGCCTGTGAAGCTCTTCTGGTGCAGGGACAGACGTGACCGTTACATACAGTATATATTACACACATTCCGGATGCTGTGAGAATTGCGCACTCACCAGATGTTTGATCTCGTTCTGTTCGCTCGCCGCGCACTTCTCGTACTCTCTCCGGTCGATCTTCTCTCGTACGTTGCGCAGGTGCTCGAGTCTTCGCTGTTCTCTCTTCTTGTCCTCCGCGGCGACAGTCCGGTTACGCTCTTTGCGCTCCTCGCTGGCTGCCATCTTGGCTTTCATATTGGTGATATTCCTCGTCTCTCGCTCCTTCACTTTCTGCTCCTCGTTCTGCAGACGCAGCTCAGACTTCTTCCTGCACAAACCTTTCTATTAACGTTTGTCATCGGGAAAGATTGGAAAGTTTCATCCTGCACTAACCCCGCCCCCCCCCCGGACCGGACTGGATGAGGGATACAATGTATATAGACCGGACTGGATGGAAGATACAATGTATATAGACTGGACTGGATGAGGGATACAATGTATATAGACCGGACTGGATGGAAGATACAATGTATATAGACTGGACTGGATGGAGGATACAATGGATATAGACTGGACTGGATGGAGAATACAATGTATATAGACTGGACTGGATGGAGGATACAATGTATATAGACTGGACTGGATGAGGGATACAATGTATATAGACTGGACTGGATGAGGGATACAATGTATATAGACCGGACTGGATGAAGAATACAATGTATATAGACTGGACTGGATGGAGGATACAATGTATATAGACCGGACTGGATGGAAGATACAATGTATATAGACTGGACTGGATGGAGGATACAATGTATATAGACTGGACTGGATGGAGGATACAATGTATATAGACTGGACTGGATGGAGGATACAATGTATATAGACTGGACTGGATGGAGGATACAATGTATATAGACTGGACTGGATGGAGGATACAATGTATATAGACTGGACTGGATGGAGGATACAATGTATATAGACTGGACTGGATGGAGGATACAATGTATATAGACTGGACTGGATGGAGGATACAATGTATATAGACTGGACTGGATGGAGGATACAATGTATATAGACTGGACTGGATGGAGGATACAATGTATATAGACTGGACTGGATGGAGGATACAATGTATATAGACTGGACTGGATGGAGGATACAATGTATATAGACTGGACTGGATGGAGGATACAATGTATATAGACTGGACTGGATGGAGGATACAATGTATATAGACTGGACTGGATGGAGGATACAATGTATATAGACTGGACTGGATGGAGGATACAATGTATATAGACTGGACTGGATGGAGGATACAATGTATATAGACTGGACTGGATGGAGGATACAATGTATATAGACTGGACTGGATGGAGGATACAATGTATATAGACTGGACTGGATGGAGGATACAATGTATATAGACTGGACTGGATGGAGGATACAATGTATATAGACTGGACTGGATGGAGGATACAATGTATATAGACTGGACTGGATGGAGGATACAATGTATATAGACTGGACTGGATGGAGGATACAATGTATATAGACTGGACTGGATGGAGGATACAATGTATATAGACTGGACTGGATGGAGGATACAATGTATATAGACTGGACTGGATGAGGGATACAATGTATATAGACTGGACTGGATGAGGGATACAATGTATATAGACTGGACTGGATGGAGGATACAATGTATATAGACTGGACTGGATGGAGGATACAATGTATATAGACTGGACTGGATGAGGGATACAATGTATATAGACTGGACTGGATGAGGGATACAATGTATATAGACTGGACTGGATGGAGGATACAATGTATATAGACTGGACTGGATGGAGAATACAATGTATATAGACTGGACTGAATGAGGAATACAATGTATATAGACTGGAGTGGATGAGGGATACAATGTATATAGACTGGACTGGATGGAAGATACAATGTATATAGACTGGACTGGATGAAGGATACAATGTATATAGACTGGACTGGATGGAAGATACAATGTATATAGACTGGACTGGATGGAGGATACAATGTATATAGACTGGGCTGGATGAAGGATACAATGTATATAGACTGGACTGGATGGAGGATACAATGTATATAGACTGGACTGGATGGAGAATACAATTTATATAGACTGGACTGGATGAGGGATACAATGTATATAGACTGGACTGGATGGAGGATACAATGTATATAGACTGGACTGGATGGAGGATACAATGTATATAGACTGGACTGGATGGAGGATACAATGTATATAGACTGGACTGGATGAAGGATACAATGTATATAGACTGGACTGGATGGAGGATACAATGTATATAGACTGGACTGGATGGAGGATACAATGTATATAGACTGGACTGGATGGAGGATACAATGTATATAGACTGGACTGGATGGAGAATACAATGTATATAGACTGGACTGGATGGAGGATACAATGTATATAGACTGGACTGGATGAAGGATACAATGTATATAGACTGGACTGGATGGAGGATACAATGTATATAGACTGGACTGGATGGAGGATACAATGTATATAGACTGGACTGGATGGAGGATACAATGTATATAGACTGGACTGGATGGAGGATACAATGTATATAGACTGGACTGGATGAGGGATACAATGTATATAGACTGGACTGGATGAGGGATACAATGTATATAGACTGGACTGGATGGAGGATACAATGTATATAGACTGGACTGGATGGAGGATACAATGTATATAGACTGGACTGGATGAGGGATACAATGTATATAGACTGGACTGGATGAGGGATACAATGTATATAGACTGGACTGGATGAGGGATACAATGTATATAGACTGGACTGGATGAGGGATACAATGTATATAGACTGGACTGGATGAGGGATACAATGTATATAGACTGGACTGGATGAGGGATACAATGTATATAGACTGGACTGGATGAGGGATACAATGTATATAGACTGGACTGGATGAGGGATACAATGTATATAGACTGGACTGGATGAGGGATACAATGTATATAGACTGGACTGGATGAGGGATACAATGTATATAGACTGGACTGGATGAGGGATACAATGTATATAGACTGGACTGGATGAGGGATACAATGTATATAGACTGGACTGGATGAGGGATACAATGTATATAGACTGGACTGGATGAGGGATACAATGTATATAGACCGGACTGGATGAAGGATACAATGTTTATAGACTGGACTGGATGGAGGATACAATGTATATAGACTGGACTGGATGGAGGATACAATGTATATAGACCGGACTGGATGGAGGATACAATGTATATAGACTGGACTGGATGAGGGATACAATGTATATAGATGTGCCTTCAGACGGAGCAGGCTAGATATGAGGTCTGGTGTGACGCTCGCTGATGCCGGTACCTCTGCGTCTCGTGGTTCTGGTTGTACTTCTTCTCGGACTCGTCCTCCCTCTTCTGCTCCCGCTGTCGCCGTCGCTCTTTCTGCTCTTGTTGCTTCTCGAGGATGGCGTGCTGGAGTCGCAGTTTCCGGATTTCCGTTTCCCCGAGGCGCTCGGCGACGGGACGCGACGGTTCCTGAGAAGGAAATTTGTAGTCACTTTACAGAAGAACTCCAGATATTTAGGGGCGGGGCCAGGGACACTCAGGCTGGGGAGGAAAGGGCTAGATACTAACTTTTAGGAAATATTTGTATTATCGGGGTGACATATTTCTCCGGCTCCGTCCCCAATCATGTGACCCCAAAACAAGCAATGTAACCATAGAAATAAATGCTGACTATTAGAAGCACTCCCTTGTCCCATCCCCCGTCACTTTTCCTGGACAGCTTGGCCCGCCCATGAAGGCGGAGAGAAATGTAAATGACGTCATGTGATATGAGAGATCGGGATTTATATTACAGATTTCACAATACACATTTTATATTCACCGCGTGAGACGGGACAAAATCCGCGTGGACCAAAACGTCTTTCACCGTGAGGCGCCGGGCTGGTGAATCCGATATAGTTTCAAACAGGGCGCTCCGATTGGTGGCCCCGAAACCATCCGACGCGCCGGCTCCGGAATTCTCTGGGGACTTTCTGCTGTTTGACTTTATAATTCCTGACAGACAAATAATATATATCATTCTCCAAACTGGATACCGGAATATATGATATCATACAGGAGTGACATCACCGCCCTCCAGATATAAGATATATTTTATTATTGGGCCCCTCCCCCTCCAAATCATGTGATTCAGGTCCTCCAATCCCCTCCGTGGCCCCCGGTGTATAGGACGAGGCACCTCGGCATGCAGAAAAGAGGCGTAGCTGTCATAGCGGCAAAGGGCGGAGCCAACCCAATACTGAACCCTACGGACTAAGACTTGGGATGCCATTAAAGTTCATGTGCGTGTAAAGGCGTCCCAATACTTCTGGCAATATGGTGTATATTATAGAGGAGTGACATCACCGCTCCCCAGATATCAGTTGCTCTATTGTTGTGTTACATGTGACTCTATAACGGAAGGATACAATGTAGGTGACCGTAGAACGTACCCGGCTTCCGGTAGAAGGGTTCCGGTTGGCCGCGCTTCCAATACTTCCACTCGGGCCGATCACCGGCGTCCGATCTCGGCTCGTCCCATAGACTGGAATCCGTGTTGACGGCGCTGTCCACCATTGTGCTGCGGGTGGTCCTGGACAGATACGTCTCCCCGTCCGTGTCCTCATCTTCTCCCTCGCTCTCAGAGGACGATGACCAATGGCGGACGCGGTTGTTCCGGGACGTTGTCCTCGCTGCGGTGCTGGAATATAACTCTTCATGGTTGTCGGTTTCCTTTCCTCGCTGGACGTAGACGGCGGTCCTCGGGGTCAGTGGCCACCAGTCCCGGCACTTGGGGTCGGAGCAGCAGGTGCAGGTCGGGTGTCTGGGGAAGCAGCAGCAGGTGCAGTGTTGGTGGGTGAGGTGCGGGTGGACGGGGTGGTGACCCCAGCCGTGGCGGTGGTCTGTGGCGCACACGGGGACGGGCACTGTGGTGCAGCGGTCGGTGATGACGTAGGTTGTGGTGCTCTGGGGGCCGGCCTCCGGGAGCTGGCGACCAGTGATTGGACGATGAAGTGCGTCCACGATCCTATGGTGGACCGTCGGTGAAATCCACAAAGCCACGCCCAGCGCGACGCTCACCTTCTTCCCATTCCAAAAACAGACGGTCAGATCCTCGTCCTCCGTCACTGCGCGAAATAAATGTCATTTTACATCAATTAGAAAA